CCGGGGAGCCGCGCGAGTACCCGGCGCGCAACCCGCCAGAGGTGGAAGCGCGGTAGCCGTGGAGGACTCGGCTGCGGGCGTGCCCGGGCCAGAGAGGGCCCCGGAAAACCCTACCCTGTATCTTTTCCCCACAGGTGAGAAGCGTTTTTAATGGTTTTATATTTTTCTTAATTTTGTGCTCTTCAGACATTTAACCAAAAAATAATTTTCAGTTGGGGTTTGGGATTTACTGGCCTCGGCCCCTTTCCAGCCCCAGGTCTCGTCTTATTTATGGAGAGAAGACGGACGGCCTTTCCGTCCACGCACTGTGAGGCCACTAGGCCCGGCTCTGCCCTCCCTCGGTCCTTGGAACCGAAGTCACAGATCTATATTAAAATAACAATAATGTACAAAGCTTTGGTTTTTGCCTTATTCTGTTATGCAGAAGTGTAAGAGGATTTCATTTTTGGTTTGTTTTCAAAAAATGAAAGTAAATGCTCTGTAAACATAAATATAAGACATTATTAAATTCTTAACCTGGAAAGTCTTTATAAAAAGTCTCCAGAGACCCTCTGCTTATGTGTTTAATGTGGTCACAAACACCCTGGCTGTCAGCTGAAGACATGCTCAGCTCTGCGTTTAACTGCAACAGCCATCCTTAACTATGCAAGCACAAGAGGGGACAGACTGCCCATCTGGGGACAGAGGCTCCTCGCCACATCCCTGCCCTGCAAGTTGTGGCTTTGGGGACAGTGGTCCCCTGCCTTTTGCTGGTGCCAGTTCATGTGGGCTTCAGGACGGCTAGCTGTAGCCACGAGGACAAACTGTGCTGAGTGTGCAGTGTTCTCTGCACTGTGCCAGACAAGTAGAATCTTAGCAACAGTCCACAGGCTGGTCACAACAGTGATGTCTTACGTTTCTCTCCTGTGTAAGTGCTGTTGGCACATGTCTGTCTGTCACGGTTGTACCCCGCTTCCATGCCTCTGCTGATTCCATTTGGGTTTTTGTTTTGGTTTGGTTTTGGTTCTAGGGATGGAACGCAGGGAAACTACCACTGAGCTACAGCTGTAGCTCATTTTGTTTTTAATGTTGAGACAGGTTCTCTCTAGATTCCCCAGGCTGGCCTCAAACTTTCCATCTTCCCACGTCAGCCTCCCCAGTGATGGGACTATAGGCGTGTACCGTCCCTTGTTTGCAGTTTTGCTCTCAGACCCACATGAGTGCCTGTGCACCTTCACTGGACCCCTTTGGTTTTCTCTCCACTCAATCATCTGCTGTGCTCTGCACTCATTCTCAGCCCTTTTTCGCGCCACACACCCTGGTTATTTCCACATTCTCTTCTCATGCCAATCAGTGACAATAAATACAACCTTGATGCAGATGAAATGTGGTTTTGTGTCTTGTGTGGCACTTTGGCCTGTGTCCCTGTGCCAGGGCTGGAGTGCAGGAGGTTGTGGTCACTTTCTGCCATTGCTGGTTGGGGTCTTGCTCCTCTAGCTGTGACAGTGCCTGTGCCACTGGCCTGGGACCTTCTACCAACAGCTCTTCACCAGTTTTCCGGCATGGAACCCATATCCTGAGTTCCATGTTTGTTTGGGGGCTGCTGGCCACCAGGACACATGTGCCTGCAAGGGGTGGCCTCCTCCCGTGTTGGGGAAAGGTAGCACCTTCTCCCTGAAAAGAGATCACCATGTGTGCCAGAGCCACTGCCTCTGGGAGCCAGGAGCTCCCTATGCTTGGCCAACCTTGTCCAATCTTGGCCCTGACCCATCAGTGCCATCACTGGGGTGGCAGCCTGGGTTTGGGGCTAAGAGAAGGGTTGGTGGGTGCAGTGATGCCTGGGATGGGGGTGTGCAAGCAGGCACCCCAGCAAGCACTGTCCAGGGCAAAGCTTTTTCCCAGGCTTTTGTTTCAGTGTTGAGTGTGCCAGGTCACACTGCAAACATGTACCACACTGCACGTGGCAAAAAGCATGTAGCCACTGCTGCCCACATCCCTGGATGGGATTCAACTCCCAGCACCTTCTGGGTATGCCCAAATCCCCCATTCCTGGAAGAATCTGGGGAATGGAGCTCAGTAAGGCTCAGGTAGGCTGTTTTCACCTCTAGTGCAAGGAAGGGTACAGAGCAGCTTCTCCATGCAGGATGAGTTTGGGAGGTGCCTGTGTTAGACCCGTGCAGACCCTACCTGTGCCATCAAGGCATTTATTTATGCAATTGGGGCGAATGTTACAGACCTACAATCTGTGCTCAGTGACACCACATTGGAGCAAAGGACAGCGCTTCTGATCCCGAGGCTCCCAGGGCCAGAAAGGGAGCAGCGTGGCCACAGGCACAGTTTCTTGCTGGCCTGACCCATGGCAAGCTCACCAGGGTCCAAATCTGGTCAGGTTTACGCCCTGAAGGAAACACCAAGAATTAGAGCTGGATAGAGCAGAAGGAATGGGCACCATAACAGGGGGACGTGGCTCTAGCAACCTCAAGGTATCCTGAAAAGATGGAGAATCCCAGTGAGGTCCTAGAGCCCAGAGAGGAACCGGTGGACCCAGCCCACAGCCTTCCTATGAATCCTGAAGGCTACTTCACTGAGAGTCCCACACAGCTTGGCCGGTTCTGGGACTGAAGGCCTGGGGAGGGAAGTAGGGGATGCTCCCTCCCTGGATAGTGGTGGCCTCCTGCACACAGACAGGCAGGCAGAGGACGTAGCAACAGAGACATACTCAGAGATTCACTTTCAACCGGGCATAGTGGCGCATGCCTGTCTGTAATCCCAGCACTTGGGAGGCTGAGGCAGGAGGATCGCTGTGAGTTCGAGACCAGCCTGGGCTACAAAGTGAGTTCCAGGTCAGTCTCAACTACATAGCGAGACCCTGTCTCAAAAAACAGAAACAGTGATGCACTTTCACACAGAGACATACTCTAGGCATGCATCAGGTTCTCCCAGCTCTCACCCACACCTTGCCATGGCCTTTCCATCGCAGGCTCTGTCCGTGGTCCCCAGGGGACCCTGTATTGCCCTCTGTGGCCATCTCAATCCACAGTGCCTGGCTGGGGAGCGTCACGCTGCCCCCCTCAGTGCCCACTACTCTGGGCCCATGGATCTCCATGTCATGTGTGGACACAGACACTCAGGACACATGACAGCCTTGGTCCTGCACCCTTGCCCCTCCTGGTCTGGACGTCACCTGCGTGTCGCCCCTGCCTGCTACCCACAAGGGACTCACAGGGGTAAGCACTGGGCCAGGACACCACTGCGGGGAATGCAGCGACGGGGCCCGGAGTCCACCTGTCGGATGCAACACTGGCTCAGGCACTCTCGGTGGCTCCTGCAGAGGTCTCCTTTGAGCTATGGACAGGGCAGGATCACTGCTGGGGACAGGGTGGGGTCACCCCTCAGGGGCAGGGACAGGGTCACTGCTGGGGACAGGGTGGGGTCACCCATCAGGGACAGGGGCAGGATCACTGCTGGGGACAGGGTGGGGTCAACACTCAGGGACAGGGTCAGGGTCACCCCCTAGGGCCAGGGCTGGGATGCTACCCACCTTGCGCCAGGGCACACACTGCAGGAAGATGGTCTTGGCCATGCAGGCCCTCGCTGAGCCATACCCAATCTGGATGCAGCAGTTGCTCTGACACTCCCAGTGGAAGAGGCATTGGTAGCCATTGGGCTGTGGGGACAGGAGCTCGGGTCCTCACATGTACCCCATCCCATACCTGCACCCATCTCCACTTGCACCCACCTGCTCCACACAAGCCACACACCTTGTGCCAAGGCGAGCAATGTAGGAAGAAGGTCTGAGCGGTGCAGAACCGCTGGGGGTTCAAGCTGTTGGGGACACAGCAGCTACTCCGGCACTCCTGGTGCTCCTCACAGGGCTCCCCCATGCCCTGCAACACAGACGGTATTGCCAAACCAGCACTGCCACCTCCCCCGCCCAGCCACCATCCCAGCTCAGAACCCAGCATGAAGGTAGGGAGCAGAGAAGGGGGAGAGGGCCAGTGCAGTGGTGGGGAAGCAGAGGCAGAGGCAGATGCTGGAGGGAGTGAGTATGGGACAAGGAACATGGACAGGAAGGGCTGCTCCTACAGATGGCAGCACCTCAGTCTGCACCCTGCACTTGACACATCACAGGGGAAGAGACTGGGGCTAAGAGAAGCTGCATAACTTGTCCAGGGTCACACAGCTAACTAGGACCTGGAGCAGAGATCACTGTGGGGGAAAAAAGATCTCACTGACTGGGTCTGAACCCACTGTTTACTGGAGAGACTGCAGCCTGAGCAGGTGAGGAAGGGACAGAGAAGAAGGAGGCCTGAGGCAGTGGATCAGCAAGGCGCAGTTGTGGGGGAGCAATCAAGGGAAAGAACTATTTACCCAGTCTTGGAGCCCTGAGGAATGGGGATGAGTGGGTTTGAGGAAGCAGTGGGTGCAGGTACAAGGCGTGTCCACCACGGCAGAGCAAACAGCCAGGTCACCACCTCTTGAAGCTCACCCCCCATACCCAGCAGGGTGGGCACAACTGGCACTCACCTTGTTCCAGGCTTCTGGCCCTGGTGCCACACAGAGCAGCAGCAGCAGCAATGTCCATGTCCATGTCCATGTCCAGGCTGCACTGGCCATTGTGCCACAGGCCTGCGGGGTCCCACGCTGAGTATAGCAGATCCTCAGTGCCCTACCAGCCTCCCACCCCCTCTTTCCTCTCACAAATAGACTTTTTCAAAATTGATGGGCTACATTTTCTTTTGTATGTACTGGGGATTTAATTCAAGACCTTGTGCTTTCAAGGCAGGTGTGGCACCACTGAGCTAAATCCCCAGCCCATTTTCAAAGCAGGTTCAGGTTTACAGAGAAACTGTGTGGAAAATCGAATGTCAGATTCTGTCCCTTTTCCCAATCACCCCCAATCACCCAAGGGTGATTGGGCAACAGCTGTGAACTCAGCACTACTCCACTTTCTAATCCACACCAGGCTCACTCTGGTGTTGTCCACGGTATGGACAACAGTAGAGTTGTATGTGTCCACTTTCTCCATCTCCCATCCTACTCCCCACCTCGCTGCTGCAGAATGGCTTCATCTCAGAGCTGGTCACTGCCTGCAACCATTCAGACTAGCTTCCATCACTCAGCAAGACACATTTAAGGGTCACCTCTGTCTTTCCTGCCTCAAGAGCTCATTGCTTTCTAACACAGAAGGGAAAGTGGCTTTTAAACAATTCTTTCTCATGGAGAAGGACCATGCCCTTCATTAAACAAGAGCAGCTGCCATTCTGAGAAGGTTGCTGCTCATCTGGTTGCTCCCCCAGCCTTGCCCTGGGCACCCACTGTCCTCCTGTCCCTAGGCTGGGCTGCACCCTCATCAGCACTCAGTGTCCACTAGACAAGTGACCATCACTCTGCCAAGTGCCCCACCAGACATCATCTCCACAAACACTATAGCCCCCACCTTCAGAGGAGGGACCTCTGCCCCCCAAATGCTGCAGGAAGGGCCACGCCTCTTTGCTTGCTCCCCATCAGCCACAAAGCTCTAAGGGAAAATAGTCCACTCTATAAACTGTTCCAAGTACTAAGAGATGCTGGGAAAACTCCCAGGCAATACCAACTCTTTCTCCCTACCAACCAAACTAGAAAAGAGAAAATAGGTTTCTCTTATGTAAGAAACTCAATATATAAATAAAGTGCAATGTAAAAAACAGAGAGTAGAAAAAAAGAGAAAAAAAGTTATTGTGATTCAGGATGAACAATGTACTTGAAAGTGTATCTTGATTTAGTGTAATTGTCATGTGTTTTATGTTCTTTGGCCTATTCGTCTGGATGTTAATCTGTATAATGATAATTTTATAAGGTGTTATAAGATAAATAGAGTAAGTGAATCTGATTCTGGAAAAAGAAAAGGAGTGTAGAAAGGAAGGGGAACAAAGAATTGAGAAGTGTTATGTACCTGTACCAACTTCCCACAATGAATGCAATCATTATGTACTGGCAACATGTACTGATACAATTTTTAAAAAACAAATAAATAAAAGAAAATAGAAAATAGCTGTCACTCCCCATAACAAGGAAACTAAATTGTTCAAGGTTGACAACAGTGAGAGGTCTTCTCAGGGCCTGAGGGAGGAGCACCACGCCCAGGTGAAAAGCCAGGATGGAGCCTGGGCACTTGAGAAATGCGCTTCTCTCTCTGCCAGACAGAGAGCTACAAACTAGATCTAATACTGTTTGGTTCCACTATAGAAGTAAAGTATTTTGCAAAACTGACAGTTCTAGCTGCTTGCTCTGAGGAATACCTGCACATTTTGTCTTCCTGTCCATTGAGATCAATGGGAAAAACACTCAGGAGAACACCCCCGCGGATGGGAAGGGAGCCACATCTGGCCGCACATCTGCGTGACTGTTGCAGTGGCTTGTTAGGTCAGGAGTGGGTGGAGGTTCTCATCAGTGATCTGGGGAAACTGTTTTGATCTGCTGTCACCAAGAGGAAGAAAGATGTAAAGAAAGAGAGCCACAGAAGCCCCCAGGCTCAGCAAATCCACACTGCCATTTCTAATTTTCTGTGTGATGGTGACAGCTTTAGTGATGTCTCTCCAGCATCCTGCCGACTGTCCACCCTTGGACTCCATGGGACCTGCTACATAAGTGCTTTCAGCTCAACACTCTTATTTTGCCCAGTTTCTCTTTCAACATTCAGTTGCTCGGCATCTCCACATTGGCCCCCAGGCTGGGCCAGCACCACTTTCAGTGATGTCTCCTCTGTCAACCCAAGAAGCAGCGAGTGTCATAGTCACTAGTGCTTGCTTGGTGGCAGGAACCTCACTGCAATGAGTCAAGGAGGCTGAAGCAAGGGAGGTTCCTCTGCCCATTAGTTTGAACAGATCCTGTATGAGTCCCTTTTGTACAGCCAGTCTGGAGGATGCAGCACCCTTGATGGAATGAAGAGCCTTGCTGTGCAGCCTGGGAGTCCCGGGAAGTCGCTGCAGGTCTGCCCTGGGCTCCTCTGTGCTCGGAGCTGAGGCCACCAGGGCTGAAGCCTTCAGGTCTGAGTTCAACCTCAGGGCTCCACAGGGCCCGGTGGATGCTGTGTTGGCCTGTACCCACTCAGCCTTCTCTGTGTCCCAGAGTCAGGCAGCTGGGGAGCAGGCTCCATCTGAGAGGGCCACAGGCACAGCATCAGCTTCTTGACACTATGTCTGCCCTGCTTGGGTCTGGTTCTGTGAAGTGCAACTCATGGAGGAGAAGACAGGTGCAGCTCTTAGGGTTGACAATGAGGACAGTTGTCTCGGAAGTCCTGAAATGACCATCTTTCTCACGGTGTCCGAGGTGAATGGACAATGGCCAGGCAGCCATCTAGGCAGATGTGCTCCTTGCATCAGGCCATGGCCTCATGACCCTTGTAGTTCTGCAGGGTCTGTCGTGATGGTCCCACCAAACAGCACATGTGAGGACCCTCTTGTTACCACCTGGCTTGCTTTGTAGGGTAGACACAGCAGCTCAACCCTAATCTGACAACACTCACACCCCCGGCCCCGGGGAACTCCATTTAGTTCCATGGCGTGGACAGACATTGCAGACCGAGGAAGAATCAGCGGGACCCAAGGCCACAGCCTGGCACCCTTGGCCCAAGGCCTGACATCCAGCAGTGACCACATTTCTTGTGGCTTCTGTCTCTGCCCCCCACTTGGGACCCTTGGAGAAAGCAGGTGTACCCAGCCATGCTGCAGGATGCCCCATTCCCCTCGGGGGCCATTGAGTGGTTCTGCTCCTGTCCCCGGCCCTCCCTCCCTGCCACAGCTGCACAGCCACCATCCTCTGAGGACTTGTACTCTCCAGAGCAGGAGGGGAGCCCTTCTACCTCCTCTCAGTCAGGCAAGGAAGTCTGACGTCAGCAGCGTTCAGGGAGGCAGAGCCACAGCTATACCATGCCCCACAACCAGCTGGCTTCCACTTCACAAACGCCCATGTAAACACATTTGCAATCTTGTGTGTGAATACATAAACACACTGATTTAAATACAACTTAATGTAACAATGTAAGAGCCAAATTGAATCACATTTGAAAACTTTAAAAGCTCAAACTTGTCATATTATATTTCTGCTTAGAAACAGGAAGAAAAAGGCTAGGAATGTAGCTCAGTGGTGCTGTGCCTGACTGGCAAGCACAGGATCCTGAGTTCAATTCCTGTTACTGAAAAAGAAAAGAAAAGCGAATAAGACTTTTTTCCCAGTCTCAAACCTCTTCATAAGCCTGGATTCTCTTGGAGGCTCAAGTTCCAAATCAGGCAGGATGTCCCTGAGAGACAGAGCAGCCAGACATCCAGGAGGACCCCCTTTGATAGGGCACGGTGACCACAGGTGTACTGGTGGGTGGGGTCTCACACAGCAGGGAAGACGCCCTGACCCAAGCTGCAGTGAGTGAACCCGAGGGCTTCTGCTCACTGAAATGAGCTTTATGGAAGAACAACACTGTGGGACCCATTTGTGTGGAGTCCTGGAGGGTCAGACCCAGCTCCAGACCTAGATAAAGGTGGTGGCACCCGGCTGGGAACACTGTATTTCAGGGGGCTGATATCCTGCTGTGTGGGAGGATGGTAGGGACTGGCAGGGCACAGACTGTGCTCAATGCTCTGTGACTACCCACTTACCGTGGTGAAAATGCCTGGTTTTCTGTTCAGTACATTTTACAAAACTAAAAGCAAATGGTGCCCCATGGCTCAGCTGTGCCATATATGAAGAAGGCCACAGCCCCTCTAGCTTTGTACATGTGCTGCCAAAGCTAGCATAGCCCCTCTTTCTTTGAAGCATCCTGTCCCCATGGGGCTCTCTTTCCATGGAAGTTTGCTTTCACCTCACCTCCCATTTCCTCTGTGTCTCCTGGATTGAGACCCTCAATGTGCTCAGTAAAAGCAAGATAAGGAATCCTGCCAAGAACATCACAAGTTCCAGGGAAAGATCTCCCAATCTCTGATGCTATTTTGCAATGCAACCCCCTCCATGGGCATTGAGCACCAGCAGCTGGCTCATCATCTACATCAGCGTAAGGAGGCATCACTGTTGAAGTACACCCCAGAGGGATACAGCTTGGCTCAGCCCAGGGTCCCAGGGACACTCATGCTGAGCATGAGACCTCTCAGGTTTCCAACCTGAGAAGATCAGAGGCCTTCAGGTCACTCACGGAGCTGAGCTACCATCAATGGGAAGCGTTCTTGGTCCTGATTTGGCTTGATACTCAGTGGTCCACCCTGTCCTGTTAGAGTCCAGCTCTGTCTCGGTGGCCCCTCTGCTGTCATGGGTCCCAGCTGTTCCTTGGTTAGAGATGAGTCTAGCTCACTTACCGCTTCCAGGAAGGTCACCAACCCCTCTGCAGATGGGGTCACAGTGAAGTTATTGAGCTAGGTCTTCTCGCCTCTGCATTCTTCTGTCCACCCTAGCAGAAGGGACTGAATGTGCCAGGATTCCGCCTCCACAGGACTCTGTCCACACAGGCAGCTGTAAGCCACCAAGACCTCATCTAGTGACCACAGCTTTCCTCTTCTGCCCCCTACCCAAGTAAGACCACCCAATTGCTGAACACCCCTGAACCAGGCACATGGGATCCCAGCTCCTCAGAGCCACCTCCTCCCCCAAACAGGTCCCCCACTGTAGGAGCCCCTGCCCATGATCTAGCCAAAGGGTGGGGCTAACTACCAGCTCGGCTAAAGAGCTGTGGTTCTTCTCCCTCACCTTTGCTCTGTTTCTCCCAGAGCATGTGGTGTGGGTCCCTAACCTGTTGCTGATTTCTGGTCAACCAAGTGCCAGGGCTCTCCTCCTTAGGGTGACTTGGTGCACCCTAAGTGGAGCAGGTACTCAGCAGGCAGGACAGGGCAGCTGTCAAGAGTTCAGAGAGTGACAGGGTGTGCTCAATGAACAAAGCCAGGTGTAGCCAGACATGAAATATCAAAACAGAAAAACCTGTGGGGACAAAAGCAGATCAGTCATTGGCAGTGAGAAGGGGAATAAGGAATGGCTAATGGTTTATGGATTTTATTTTGGGGTGGTGAGAATGTTTTGGAAGTGATTACACAATGTCATGAATCCACTGACTTTAAAATTGAGGTAGGACAGGAGAAATAAAGATAGGTAGAAAAAAGACAAAGAGGGCTGTGGATTTAGCTCAGTGTTTCTGCCACCTGCCTTGCAAATGCAAAGTCCTGAGTTTGATCCCCAGTGTTGAAGAAATCATACTTTTAAGGAATCTGCAAATTCAGGACACAAAGTTATCCAAGGTTATAATCCCTTTTTCCTTTCCAAGAAAACTCAATAAAACATTTGTAAGAGTCTTAAAGATACAATATGCCTGACAGTTGGGCCAACAATTCTCACCTGGGCATTGAAGATCTCCATATTACAAATCCCACAGACTCTAACCCCAAGACCACCACTACATTAAGTGGGCAGCACATCCCTAAATGCCAAAGGCAAATGGGCTGCTAGGCTACTAAAGGGCACTAAAGATGCTAGGTCATCTAACCTGGAGACACTCTGACCACACAGAAACCTCAGCCCAGGCTGTGGTACACCTCACCTTGTGAGCACCCACACTCTCTTCCATGGAGGCAGAAAGCAAGTTGATCTCTAGAGACTGAAGGCGAAAACTCTTGCCCCATTAGGCTTTGTGGGCCTAATGTACATTCCAAGCAAGCATGACATTTTGCAGAGGCCAAGCTACATGTAAAAGTAACATCTACACCTTGGACATGAAAAACAGGTTTCTGCCCCGAGCCTGTGACCTCTTCTCAGAGCTGATACACCCAGGGGTCCTTATTGTGAGCCTCCCATGAGCACCACCATTGTGGATCTGTCAGATGGGCTCGTGGAATGTGCTCTATCAACATCGCACAGGCTGCCCAGAGAGGGGCAGAGGCAGTCAATCTAAAGACAGCTTCCCTGATGCTTAGGGTTGTCAGATCACCCCTCACCCTTTCCACATCCTCAAATCCTTAAGAGAAACCTCAGCCTCCTGCCAGACTCGAAGTCCTCTCTCTGACTTCACTCCCTTTGCTTCTTTATTCTTTTGCCCCATGGCGATAGCCTCTTGCACACCGTGCCTTGAATGGCACCTCCTGAGTGTGTCCTTTCTGCCTAAATAAGTTTGCTGTGCTTCCCACAGATGCAGCCTGAAATTATTTTCCTGTGACATAAGTTCCTGAACCTACAGTCTACTCCCTGGGTGGGGTGATTTGAGGTCACCATCTCTTTTTGGGGGGACAGCTTGGACTTCATTTGATGACAAGATGATCATTATGTAGATTTCCTCTCCGTAAGTGTAAGATTATGTTGTGAAATATTATGTTTTGGATTTCAGGATGCAGGTGGTGTTGGGATATTAAAGCTACAAAAAACAAAAATAACAACAACAAAAAAAACCAAATTTACTTTGTAGAGGGGGGAAAAAGGATTGGAGTTAGGTATGGTGCACACATCTGTAATCTCAGCACTCTTAAGAGATGGAGGCAGGAGGATCTTCAATTTAAATGCAACCTAGACAATTTAGCAACTTGGTGAGAACCTGTTCAAAACTAGAGTTAAGAAGGGCTGAGGATGTAGCTCACTGCTAAGACCCTGGGTTCTATTCCCAGTTGGGGGCAGGGCGGAAAGTACATAAAGAGCAAAGCCCGGGACTTCGCAGTGTGGGGCGGCCTCAAGCAAGCCAGGTCCCAGCCCCACCCCACACCGCTCCTCCCTCCTTCCCTCGCAGTCCCCTGCCAAGCTCCAGTCCTCTCGCCTCCGATACCTGCGGCGCCACAGCTGGAGAGGGGCTCCGAGCACCATGGCTCCTACCTACCCTAAGGCCCCCACAGCTTGGCGCCTGGCCCGGGGTTGCTGGTCTGCATTCTGGGACTACGAGACGCCAAAAGTGATCGTGGTGCGCAACCGGCGCCTGGGGGTCGTGTACCGTGCGGTGCAATTGCTCATCCTGCTCTACTTTGTGTGGTGCGCAGCAGACTGGGCGGGGGTCTGGGGATGGGCGAGGGCTGGCGATAGGGGAGCCCAGGCGCCAGGCTAGGGACTGAGCCAGCTGGGCAGGGGGAAGGGGCAAACTCAGCAGAGGAAATCAGCGCTGGACTGGGGAAGGAGGAGCTGGGCTGAGGAAGGAATACTAGGCTGGGGAGAGAGCTCCAGGGACAGCACCATACAGGAGGTTGGGGTAGTGGTTGTGTCCGGAGCTGGGCCCCACCCTGCAGGTACGTGTTCATCGTGCAGAAGAGCTACCAGGACAGCGAGACAGGCCCTGAGAGTTCCGTCATCACCAAGGTTAAGGGGATCACAGAGTCTGAGCACAAAGTGTGGGACGTGGAGGAGTATGTGAAGCCCCCTGAGGTGAGTCGTGCCCTAGGCCCCACGCCCTGCCCCAGGTCCCAGGCTGAGAACTGCCTGGCTCATAGTCCCTCTCTGTACAGGGGGGCAGCGTGTTCAGCATCATCACCAGGATTGAGGTCACCCCCTTCCAGACCCTAGGTGCCTGCCCAGAGGTGAGGGCAGTTGGGGGTGCTGGGGAGCTTGGCCACTTGTAGGGTGGGTCTCTGACTCCGTCTCCACCCTAGAGCATAAGGGTACCCAATGTAACCTGCCGCTCAGATGCCAACTGCACGGCTGGGGAGCTGGACATGCTGGGCAATGGTCAGTGGATACTGTGGGTGGTGGGTCGGGTCACAGCTGGGCTGGGCTGAGCCAGTGTCTGGCCTGCAGGGCTGCGGACGGGGCGCTGTGTGCCCTACTACCATGGGGCCGCCAAGACCTGCGAGGTGTCCGGCTGGTGCCCAGTGGAGGACGGGGCCTCAGTCAGGTGTGCACCTCTTGGCCAGAGGGGCAGGTGTGGGACCCTGCAGGGAGGGGGCCTGCTGGGGCACCAGGGAGGGGAACTCAGTCCTGTCTGTATCCCCAGCCACTTCCTAGGTAAAATGGCCCCAAACTTCACCATCCTCATCAAGAACAGCATTCACTACCCCAAGTTCCAGTTCTCAAAGTAAGAGCCAGCAGGGCCTAGGAATATTGGTGTGGGCACCCTGCAGGGAGGCTGTAGGGGTTCCAGGCCTCTGCCACCCTTAGGGGCAACATTGCACACCGGGAGGACGACTACCTGAGACACTGCACCTTCGACCAGGGTTCCGACCCCTACTGCCCCATCTTCCGGCTGGGCTTCATAGTGGAGCAGGCGGGGGAGAACTTCACAGAACTGGCACACAGGGTAAGTTAGGGCTCTGCCACAGCCCTGGCACCTTGGCAGCCCTGTTGCCACAGGGCATCACCTCTTCCTAGCTTGTGCTCCTGGCCTGACCCCTCCTCCCTGCAGGGCGGTGTCATTGGGGTTGTCATCAACTGGGACTGTGACTTGGACCTGCCTGCATCCCAGTGCAACCCCAAGTACTCCTTCCGGAGGCTGGACCCCAAGCATGTCCCTGCCTCCTCGGGCTACAACTTCAGGTACTATCCCAGGGTGCCCTGGAGAGGGAAGGGATGGGCTAATGGTGGTGCTTCCTGTTGCACAGCTTGGGCAAAAGCTTGCTCCACCCCAGGTTTGCCAAGTACTTCAATATGAACAGCACCATCACCCGCACACTTATCAAGGCCTATGGGATTCGCATTGATGTCATCGTGCACGGTCAGGTAATGCTATGCAGGTCCTACCTCCCCAAGACACTGCTGCCACAGGCAGCTGGTCTCAGAACAAGCCCCTTCCTCCCCAGGCAGGAAAGTTCAGCCTGATACCCACCATCATCAACCTGGCCACTGCTTTGACCTCCATTGGGGTGGTAAGGAACCCATTTAGGGACTGGGCAGGGCTGGGGTTGCAGGCCCCTTACCCATTGATCTCTACTGGCCTCAGGGCTCCTTCCTGTGTGACTGGATCTTGCTAACATTCATGAACAAAAACAAGGTCTACAGCCATAAGAAATTCGACAAGGTGTGTACACCACAGCAGTCTTCAAGCAGATGGCCGGTGACACTTGCCCTTGTCTTAGGCCAGGCCACTCCCCCACCTGGCCAGCAGGGCCCACAAAGGGCAGAGCCAGGCGAGGTTGTTAGGCCCCCGCCCATCTCTGCCATGTCTGATCAGATGGTGAACACCCCTGATCAACATATAGGACAAGGGCTCCCCACCTCTGGGTCTCCCCATCAGGACTCCATACCCACAGACCCCAAAGGCTTGGCCCAACTCTGAGCTTCCAGTCCTCACTGTGCTGCAGACCTGGGCCCCAAACAGAGGGACCCCTTCCCCTAGCCGAGGTCTGAAGGGCAGACACATTTCTGCCGACTCAAGTCCTCCCTGCCCACCACTGTCCTCTGATACACCCTGGGTGATACTACATCAGAGCTGAGGGGCTTTCCCCCACCCCCACCTCAATAGTCCTTTAATTCTGCCCAAACCCTTCCCTTGGAAGCCACAGCATGCTGAACCCAATAAAACTGAGCCTGAAAGCCCCTGGCCTCATTCTTGTGGGAAACCAGTGGGCCTGAGTGATCCATATAGGACAGCCATCCCTAATCATGGTGCTGCTGGCTGCATTGTCCCTAGATTGAGTGACCTTCCTTGCCAGCCAAGGGTAGAGCACAGGGCACCTCCAGTCATGTTGTGTGTGTACATGTGCAAGCACACAGTACCAGGTGTTCACAAGGCGGTGCTGAATGTAGGGCCAGACAGCACCCTCTCTACCTGAACCAGGTCTCAGGGTGCCACCTAGTTCCAAGACCCAGGAGCCGGGAAGAGACCTGGTCTGTCTGCCCCAAGCCAAGTCTGGAAAGTCCCTGGTACAAGTTCCAAGTCCCAGTGATGTCTGCAGGTGCTTCAGAGGGACACCAACTCCCAACACTCACAAAGACCCTCTCTTCCTTGGTCAGGTTCCATATAGGCCTCCAGACACCTGTGACATTCTTGGCTTGGTTTGTAAGATGTCTGGAGAAATGAGCCTTTCCACTTGAGGCCCTGGCTGCAGCTCAAGAGCCTGGCTGGCAGTTCAGGTTTCTCACTGAGCTCTGGGACAGCCCTGTCCTGCTGCAGGGTGGCTCTGCTGAGGGACACAAATGTTCTTGGCCCAATCACACCCCTCACCCATCTCCAGCTCTGCTTCCAGTAAGTCCAGTTACCCCCAACCTCCTTCCTCTCACTCACTGGCCCTAATTTGATTAGATCTATACTCTGGAGGTCTCAGCGCAGCTCAGACCTGGCCTGCAGTCCAGGCCAGCAGGTCCAAGCAGTGTCAAGTTTCTCCCTACACCAATGGATGGAGACTGATGGGCTAATGCAAGATACCAAGCTACTTGCCTTCTGAACTAACACAAACACACAGCAGCAATCTAAAGAAAGGTAAAAGTATAAGATTTAAGTGAAAAAGTATAGTGAGTGATATCAGATAGCAAGGACAAAGCGACCTGAGCCTCCTGGGAGCCTGTGGGGTCTCTGCTCTCCTAGGAGGCCCTGCCTTGCTACACTAGCCTAGGCCTCGACATGAAAGAGGAACGTGGATAACCTGGGGTCAGCTGCCACTGCCATCATCTCAGTGAGTAGAAAAGAAGCAGGGCCCTCTGCAGTGCTAGGAGACGGGGTGATGCAGACACCCACTCCTCTTGTTCTGAACAGAAAGTATACAAGGAGTAAGCACCCCCATCCTACAGGATAAGGTCTGGATTCCCCAGAAACCAGTCCAGGCTGCTCCCACCAGGCTGCCGGGGGGACCTCCTCTTTACAGAACACTGGAATCTCCAGCCCCACACAGAGCATGGGAACTGTCCTCATTCTGTGTGTACCTCTGCCTGGTGCCTAATCTCTACCACCCCCAAGCCCTGCCCTGGGAGGCAGTAAGCAGCCTCAGAGCTAGAGGAAGAGGTGGCTTAGGTGTGTGTCTCAGGGAGCTTTCCCACCCCACCGAGTCAGTGCAGGAGACCTCAAAACATGTTTATTCTGTGGAAAATGATCCTCAGGACCCTGAGGCCTTCTCAATAGAGGACCTGCTCAGATCACCACCAAGGAGGGCCAGGCCACTTCCAGCTGCTGCCTGTTCAGGGCCCTCCATGGCCACATGTCCTTGGGAGTCTGGACAGCTGGGAGATGTGGCACCCCTGCGCTCACTAAGAGCCCACCTGAGGGTCCTTCTGCAGCAGCCACCTCAGGGTCTCTGTGAGGTATGACATGCCATAGTGCTGGGCAATGTTCTGGAAGATCCCAATCTGCTCCATGAAGGCCTGGACGAAAAGAGAGATGCAGAACATCAGTGCTACCCAGAGAAGGGGAGGAATTAACAGGCCGGGAGTGCAGCCCACCTGGGTGTGGATGGTGAGGGCAAAGTCCCCTGCACAGCTGCAGTACACAGGCATGTGGGTCTCTTTCACGCCACCACACTTCTGGCAGACCTGCAATGGAGGGAGGCCATGGGTACAGTGCCCCACCCCACCCTGGGCAGACTTGGTTGGCATGCAGCACCATGTCAGGCCTCAGTTATGGGTACAACTTGAGACTTCACCCAAACCTCCCAGCCTCCCAACACCGTCTGCCTTGCTCGGGGGCCCATCCCCCAGAGCCCATATACCAGGGTTTCCTCTGGGCCCCACTGGCTGTGTTCACCCGTGACCCTGCACAGGCAGGTTGCTCAGGCCTGTGCTCAGATGTCTTCCATGACACCTGCTGTGGTCAGGGAACTCCACCAAGCTTCCCTTCTACTGCTGCTCTCTTGCACTGCTCATGCACACTGATTAATGTATTGACTGTCTCATTCTCCAGTGTGACACAAATGCCAGCAGCCAGCAATGCCCTGTGGCTAGTACCAAGGGCACTGACAACACGTCAATGGGGGCTGTCCTCCTTGGAGGTGACATGGGACCCACATATACTCCACTTCCCCAGAGTGTCCATTGCCTATCCAGCAATCCCTGCCAATAGTAGGGCCTCACCAGGTCCTGCAGTGTGAAGGCCATCAGCTTCCTCTGAAGGGCTTCTACCAGGGCGGCCTCAATGGCAGCTGAGTCATAGGCAGCCTGACAGTTGGAGCAGATCCATTGTGGCAGGACAGCCCCATCCTAGGAGAGCAGGGAGAGGGGTAGGTGGTGGCCACAGAAGACTTAGGCAGCAGCATGGCTGGCAGCTTCCCCATCAGTACTAGGCCCAGAGGGTTGCCGGAGCAGGTACCACAATCCACATAGCCAGCTGCCCCTGGCCGACCTCCACAGGACGACATCTAGGCCAACAGCCTAGCAGGGCTCAGAAAAGGCTGCTCCTAATCCACAGGAGAGCAGGAGCGGCAGGAGCTGCAGGCTGTGAAGGCTGTCCTGGCTGCCTGGGTGTCCAACACACCAAAAGGGCCACTTCTGGCTCTGAACATACCTGGGAGAAGGAGGAGTCTTTGCACAGGTTCAGGTCACGGCAGAAGTTACAATTTTGGCAGATCACCTCTGGGAGCACGTAGGAGCGGCAGGGGTCTCTGAATTGGGCTTCCTCAGAGAACTCGCCCACATCCACCAGGCGAAGCAGGTCTCGGTTCAGTTTATTCACCTGGTTTGTGATGTTTGTATCCAGAGAAAGAACCTGAGGGGACCATAGCCCATCAGGAAGAAGCTCCAAGTCTTCCCTACCTCCATCTGCATGGGATCCTGCATCATCTCATCCCCCTCAGCCTCTTCAGGAGCGTCAGGGGACAGCTCTTCTCTTTGGCAGCTATTTCTTCACTGTAAGAATCCTCACTGGTGAATTTAGCGAGCACTGAGGGAAACAACAACACTGACTCTACAAAATACCTTCAAAGGGGCCGGGGATTTAGCTCAGCGGTTTGGTGGCCTGCCTTACAAGTGCAAGGACCCGAGTTCAATCCCCAGTACAAAAAAACAAACAAACAAAAAAAAAACAAACCCAAATACCTTCAAATAGTGAAGAGGGAAGGCACCCAACTTGCCTGAGGCCAGCATCATCCTGATATAAAACCAAAGGCACAAGGAAGCCACAGACCAATAACCACCATGAGCACAGATGCAAAAACCCTCAACAAATACCAGCACATGGAACCTACCAATATACTAAAAAGAACACATGATCCAGAAACTGACCTACATGGATATAGCCAATTAAGTTTTGAAAAGGTCCAGAGATCACTTAACAGAAAAAGGGTAATCTTCTCAACCAATAGTTCTGGCAGTCAACACCCTCATGCAAAAATAAGAACATGCACATTGTACAAAAATGAACTCAAAATGGACCACAGGTTGAACGTGGCTCCACCAAAAGATGCAGGAGGGAGGGAGAAGACAGAAACAGGACATAAAAACCAACTCCCCATGATGAATGTAATCCTTATGTACTGCAAACACGGACTAACAAAAATAAAAATATTTTAAAAATGTAGAACCAAATATAAGACTTGCAGAAGAAAATATGGAAAATCCGTGTTCTTAAAAAAATTCCTTACATATAACATCAAAGCAGTTTACAATATCTGATAAAGGACTTGTGTCCAGGATATAAACAATTCTCAACTACAACTGGTAGTGGAGCACTTGCCTGGCATGTGCAAAGCCCTGGTTTTGATTCCCCTTTCAGAGGTGTGGGGGAAGAAAGGTAGGAAGATAGGAAGGAAGGGAGGGAAGAAAGGAGGGAGGAAGAGAGAGAAAGGTAGGAAGGGAGGAGTGGGGGAGGGAGAGGGAGAGAAAGAACATGCCCAATTTTAATAATGGGCAAAAGATTTAAATATGCCACCAAAGAATTGGACAGCAAACAAGCCCATGAAAAGTGCTCAGCATCATTAGTCATTAAGTAAATGCAAAACAAAACCATAACGAGATTCTACCACATACACATCTGAATAGCAAAAATTTAAAAAGCAAACAGCACAAAGTTCTGGCACAGCTGTGCAATAGGAGCTCTGGCCACTGCTTGTAGCTGTTTTACAGGTTCTTTCAGAGTCCAGCACTTTCTGCTGGTCCAGCAATTCCCCTCCTGGGTTTTAACCCAAGATAAACGTAGGTCCACATGAAAACCCAAAGAAGACTGTTCACAGTAGCTTTGTTATTAATCACCAAAAAGTGAAACAAGTCAGATGCCCATGCACTACTGAATGTAAAGCAGACTGCAGGCTGACTGTCCACACCACAGACATTCAGCAATGGGGAGGAGATGTGAACATTAACTGGATAAATCCCACATGTACATTGCAATGTGTGTGAAGCCAGACCTGGGGGCTGAACAACAGGATTTTACCTATGTGGTACTCTGGCAAGGACAGGGAACAGCCCAGGGCCTACCAGGTAGTGCCCAGGGACATATCCACAGCTGCTCTCCACTGCACTCCAATCAGAAACCTGAAATGAAGCAGCTCAGGGGCAGAGGGCATACCCAGTGCTAAGCGGCTGGGATGCTGCCTCGACGCTGGTGGAGGGGAGGTGGTCTGTGCCTAGTGAGCCTC